GGAGGGTTGAGGTTGAAGGGGGAGAGTACAAGATTGCATGACACCATCTAGATAGCAGCAAGAAGCTAGGATTGCTTTTCCTAAGTACTGGGGATTGAACCTGGGGACTTGTGCATGGTAGACAAGGACTTTACCACCAAAACACATCTCCAGCTCCATAGTATTTTTAAACAGTGATGTGGGAAATGATCACATGTTTATAAGGAAGGAAATTATGTGATTTAACTTATAAGTGAGTCATTTAAATCAAAAGCTAAATAATCAAAAGTGAGAAAATTTGAAGTACAACTGAGAATTTCAGGTAGCAGAAAGTAGTTTAAATGTTTTCACTATAAAGAAATGATATACAAAATGTGACAGAAAAATACAATGAATGTTTAAATTAAAATAATTATTGCACTTAAAAGACACATTCCCACTAATCCCCCTCAAAATCACCCCCCTAGCTTTGAACACACTTATCCCATTGTTCCTGTTTTCTGAGGCAGCTCTGGAGTCCTCTTTCCTGAGTGTCATTAGCTGTGTTATCGTGACTGCTTTCATGTCCTGAATTGACTCAAAACATTCCCTTTTGTGGTCATTTTGAGTTTGGGGAAGAGCTGGAAGACACCCAGTGCCAATTCTGGTGAATAAAGTAGATGACACACAGTAATGGTTTTACTAGCCTGCTTTTCCATTGGATGGCACTTGCCAGCAGGATTTGCCATATTTTTGATCATTCCTCTAAAAGAGACTCATGAGAGAAGACTTCCAGAACTACTTCAGAGAGTGGCAAAAGCATTTTCGATGCAAAGGGGAGTATTTTGAGTGGAAATAATTCTTTTACTGTATTAATTTGTTAAAATTTACATCACATATTTCATCATATATTTTGATCACCCTTTGTATATTTGAGGAGATAGATATGCTTAACTTGATTTAAACATCACACAAGTATTAAAATGTCATATGGTAGATACTCCATAAAGATGTATAATTTTTAAGCATTGGTTAAAAATAAAATAAGTAAATAATATTAATTACTCTCTCCCAGAATAAATTAAAAAATTAAAAATCTCTACCTTCTTCATGTGGGTAGAGGGCTCCTGGATGATCACTTTAGAATTAAGCTTCAAAATTTATGTAAATAATGTGTCTTTTTCAAGTGTATAAGATACCACATGGAAATTAGTACATAAAAAGTTGAGCACCTGGCCCGAGGCTGACAAGCTAATATGCAGCACTAGCAAGAGAGAGGTGAGTGGAAAGAGATGGGGCGGTAAATGGAAATGACCTAGCGCCTTCACCACTGTTTCCGGGTGTCCTCGTCATTGTGGGTGGTATCACTTTGATCTTGCTTTTACCTTGCTTTGTATATTGGGGAAAGTGAAGGAACACAGAACAATAAGTTAATACAATCCCAGCTTTCTCAGGATTGGGGGTATGATCTTTACCTGAGCAAATCAAAGGCACACACCCGCATCCTTCCCACACTCATTCCTCTTTGCTCCTGTTGTCTGCCTCATATCACCTGAATGGTATTTCTTACCTCTCAGGTAACAGGGAATTTTATTCCTGTGAGATCCAAGTTCTTGGTGATCTCATGTTTATTGATCACTGCAGTTACCCTTGTTTGATCACTGCACAAAGGAATACTATGACTTCCCTGGATCCAACCAGTGCTCCTCATGTTCATTACAGGATCAGTACTCTTGCCCCTGATAATCGTGGCCAGTCAGTCACCTTGACCAGAAAATGACCCCTCTTCTGAATATTTACTATTATATAGAAAATCAAATGAAAAGTGTAGCCTTATCCAAATCACTTGAACTGTGATTGGATGTGGTAATAAAATAGTTCTCCCTTAGGTTTTTGGATGTCTAAATCCACTGGGCTGATAGGGATAAGAAATATAGATTCTTCGACTAGTGCTTAGCTATAATAGAAAGAGCAATTGGTACTCTTTGCTTCTTTTGACACCTGGATCCACAAGGAGAAGACAGACCATATTTTGGCTCCTTTTTTAAGACATACACTGTCTGCTGCTCCATAATAGCAACCCACACTCTCAGTGTTATCTGTGGGTACCACAGGCCAGCCGTCAGCAGTACATTCTCCTTTCCTATCAGACCAGAGGCTCTCAGTAATGGGATATGTTTTATGACTAAGGATTACCATGGGCCTGAGTCCCTTCTTTCTTTGCCTTAAAATCCATCCTTCAGTTAATAAAGCTTGATCCAAAAAGTAAAAGCAAGGCCAGATTTCACTCTTCATTTGTATATTCAACTTCTAAGATTAAATGAGCTGCACTATTTGTCCTAAGTGTTTTATTTTTACCACTTCAATTAACAGTGCACATGGCCTATAAACTAATAATGGCATGTAACAATTTATCTTAAATCTATCTCTTTACATCCTAAATAATTTGGCTTGAGTACATTAGTACAAAAGCCACTAATGCAAGGAGTTTTAGGTCAATTGCTTTAAAATCTTTGGTTATTAATTAACCAAAAAATTTCTTTATTTGTCAGAAAGATGAAAGAGGAAACTTGGATCACACATCTAATTCAGCATAGGAATCAAGTCTGAAAGTGGCCTGGACCATCTTCTATCTTAAGGCATCTTAGAGATTGAGTTGTTCTGTCTTCCATTGCTCTTCTGTCTTAGAGTCTGAAGAGAACTTGGAGTTAGTGATGCAGATCTTGTCTACAAAAACCAATATGAGACTGCCACCTTTCACTGCTGGGGTGATTTGAGCAACATTCCTAATGTGTTTCCATAAAAGTCTCTGTGTTGATGCATGAAAAGTGAGAATGGTTTCCCAAAATACGGTTCAGTACCTGACCATAGATATCAGGCATGTGGAGAAATGGCAGTGGAAAGTGTAGGAAACCAACCCACAGCAAACTGTGTCCTCTGTAAGTTGCCCATCTCACTAATAACAGAACATGCCAGGGAACCGTAGCTGTTAATTCAATCTCTATGCTATACAAACGTCACAGGTACACAAGTATTTCACACATCTTCCCTTCAAGGGTTGTAGATAACAAGGTAAAACACCAGTTAAAATTTAATTTCAGGTAAACAACATGCATATATTTTAGTATAAGTGTGTCTAAATTATTTTTTGAGATGTTCTTCAGAATATTTCCCCACAGTTTACTTTTAATTTGGTCTCTTGTATTTGTATTTGCAAAACCTAGCAACACCATGTCCTTAGCCTCAAATTTCTTAAAGGAAAGTTATTTTTATATTTTGCCAAGGGATTGGGATTGCATCATTCCATAAGAGAGTGGGTGAGAAGAATTGTGTCTAATTACTCTGAGAGATATATTCATTTAGAGGGAAAGAATGAAGAATCCTCCCTGAAGAACAAAATAGATTTGGGTGATGGGAATTGTAGTGAGAGTAGGAGGAGCTGAGTAAAGGTGAGATTGTTTTTGAGAATTGAAGCTTTGGACGAGGTGGAAAAGGATTTGAGGAGTAGGTGCTGTATTATGAGAGGAACTTAGAATAAAGTGAGGCAAAGAAGATTTAAAAAAAATTTTTTTTTGACCCTTGTCATAAAACGTAAGTTTACCTTTGTTGTTTCATCAGTAGACTTCAGGAAATATTTACTTGTCCAGGTTTCTTTTACGGCCGAATGGAGATGTTGGATTTGTGTTAAATTTGGACACCTCGCTAGACCTGGACAGGCACACTATTCATTCTCAGAGCATTGGGACTATCTTGATAAAGGCCAACATGGCTTTTGCACAGATGTCAGTGAGTTTGGAAAACAGCCATGTAATATCAATGGATAGGTTTGGAGGAGTTTTTGAAGTTAAAAAATCTCATTCTCCACATTAGCCATGAAGTATACACATGTCGGTTTCTGACTGTAGGAGGTCACTTCCACGAATGACCCTTATTGGGAGTGTACTGTGTCCCTTTCAGACCCACTTGACAGCTCAGTAGTTCTGCTTCAGGGATTCCCAGGAAGTTTTCCAGTGACAAGCCCACATCTGCTGGCCCCTAATTATAACTGCAAAATGAGCTGTAGCTAACAGTGTCATTTAGTTCCCCATTAGCATTTATATCATTGCAGTAGGGTTTTGAATTCTTGTTTTTCTGAGGACTCTTGAAGTTTCAATGTACATAGTTTATAATTTAAGAAATGACCAACAGTAATGTTGTTTTTCAGGCTAACAGTATAAATCTACTTGTCTTTGTCAGTTAAATAAAAGCAGGATAAAAATAAAAGTAAGATAAAATAAAAATAACACATGGAGACCTAGTTTAAAAATAGAAAGGACAAAGTAAGTATCAGGAATGATATAATAATGTGACCACCATTCATACTTTAAAAAAGGTTACATTGCTGCTTAGATATATTTTTGGATAAAAAGTGTTAAAATGGATGGAGGTATAATATTGAACTATCTTATCTGTCCAGGGACCACTACATTCAAGATTTAAATGTAAATCCTTAAAATCTATATTTTTTGTTTCTATGTTACTGGTATAGCAGACAAACATGCTGTAGGATTTAATCATAAAAGTGGTTTCAAGTTGTCTACTTTTTCCCTTTAACTAATGCTCTAAATGTTTACTGTTCTCAAGAAGCAGCCTGAATTTGGTCTATGACACTTCTGGCTCTCTTTGGTTAAAAAAAGAAAAGAAAAGAAAAGAAAAGAAAAGAAAAGAAAAGAAAAGAAAAGAAAAAGAAAAGAGTCATATGGCTAGAGTCACTAAGTATTGGTACTGTTGCCACATAACATCATGATTTCTAACTCAGTCTAATCCATTAATAGCTCCAAAACTGATAAAGATACTACTAGGTGTATCAAGGAAGGAAATTTTTATTTGCATATTAGTATAGAAGTAGTCGATCACAGAATAATATATTTCTACAAGTACAATTACTTTCTTCTAAAAGTGCAATTATATTCTTCCACAACTATAGTGATTAAAAATCAATTATTTCCATTATAGATAATAAAATTTTAAAAATAAAGAAAGTCAAGACAGTTTGCATTTTGTTTTGATGTAAGAGTATTCATTTAGTTCTCTTGAGAAATTAATATAGTGACATTTTTATGTTTTATATTTGTGGTTTTGTTTTTCTAACTTATTTTGCTTACATAATTTCAAAAGCATGAAGAATCAGTCTTGAAAATAGATAAGGATGGAAGTAAGCCAGAAATTTAAAAAGAAAAAAAAGGTAGGGCATGATACATGGGAGAGTCTTTTGAAACTAATACAGTATTTCAAAATTCAAAATTAATCATTAGGTTTGGGGGAAATAAATGGACAAACAGGAACTCCATCCCAACTAGAGAAGTAGAAATGAGTAGAGAATTTATTCATTAAGGTTATAAGTCCCACACTGATTTTAAATGCTTATTTTTTACTCCACAATATTACTACTGAACGATGACTGTGTGGTATGCCTGAGACCTGAAAATGGATGATTACCCTAATTCTGGTGTAATGCCTGTGAGTAAGATCTGTTAAGTCATTATGCAGGAATAAACCAGAATGCAAGGTGCTAAACATGAAGATTTACATCATCTTCCCATCCATGCCTTGATTACCATCTTGGTTGTGGAGCGAGCTCAGTAAAATATCCATGAGAATTAGGTTCTGATGGGGGAAGTATAATAGTGGAGTATTGGAGGAAATTGGAAAATAGCTTCAATTATCAAACGTGATGTTTTTTAGTCTGCCTGAAAGTCTTGGAAGCATTATTTTGTAAACTAATATAAAATCAGTGAAACTTTTTCTTCAGGAGATTCTGCTTTGCATTTATTTACATAGTTTTTTAAATCAAAGGTGACTTTTGGTAATTAATATCTTATGTTAAGGTGATTGTGAAGTAATTATAATGGTGCCAGTTAATATCATCATTTTTCTAAAAGATGAAGGAGACTCTTGTCAGATGTGTGGATGATTCTTGGGATGAAGAAGGTGAAATTGTCAGGGTGCATATTTTCTTCTCTCTAGATTGGGAGCAAATAAATGACGATGATCAATTGAGATTTTATTTTGTCACATTTCATGTAAACTTTAGACCATACTAGTTTGGGTGACCTCACAAAACTGCAGGAACATCATTCTTTTTAGATTTGCCTTCTCAATTGTACAACTTTCTGGGTATGATTTTTAGTACCTTTCTTAATTGCTCACTCATTTCTTTCTCTTTTTTTGATACCAGGGATTGAACTCAGAACCTTGTCCTTGCTAGGCAGGAGATGGAACCACTGAGCCACATCCCTGGCTCAGCTCATTCATTTCTTTCAATGAATTGCAAAGACTCTGTAACCTTGATGTCAGTGACTCTATGTTATTGTGAGTTTAGTTTTCTAACTCAGAGTTCCCATTCTCCACCTTTAATTTTCATTTTTACTATCAATTAAAGACCAATTCTAAAGCAAAAAGAAACAGTACTTTTAATATAATTCAGCACCCTATTATACAGCATGAGAAAGATACAATTGTTTTAATACATGGGGAAAAATAATATGATGAAGTAAAATCTTATTTTAATGAAAATACTACAAAACTAGGAGAGCAGAGTATAATCTTTAACTTGTTACAAACCAAAGACATTCTTATAACAGATAAATCAAAGTTTGAAAATTAGTAAGAATATAATACAGTACTCTCCAATACAAATATAATAAAAACCTCCATATGTAATTTGAAAACATAATTTAAATAATTTACATATAGTTTAAATTTTTTTCTGGTAGCCATATTTAAAAAGTAAAAGTAAAGATTTGAATTTAAATAATAACTTTCTAAACAATTCTTGGGTCAAAGAAAAGTATTTCAAGAAAAATATAAAATGCATCAAGCTGAATGATAATGAGAAGGCGACATCAAAATCTATTAGATGGAGGTAGATGAATTATTAGAAGAAAATCTACAGTTTTGTGTGGTAAATATGTCTTATCTCAGTAAGTCCAAAAATCAACACAAAGGTTCTGTTCCAAGCAAAGTAACGAGGTCCAAAAATATGTACGTGATGCTTCAATAAAAATGTACACAGGAGAGTCAAGAGCTCTAAAATCCAAATGCAATGCCCATTCTTGGTTAGACTCCATTGGAAAATGGGAAAGGAGAAGGCATAGAATATAAATTGAACATCAGATCACATTAGAAGGATAATAATTTTGATACGTGTGATATCAGTATATTACAATGCAGAAAGAGTCTCATTTTATAGACACATGTTGTTGTGACAAATATCTGTAAATGACTTTGAAATCATTTTGGAAATCTGTGTTTGTAAGTGTAGAGGATGAATGCGAAAAAGAAAGACAAATGTGATATAGTGTGAGCAGTGGTTGAATATGGGATTTGATAACAATTATGTTCAAAATGTTTTCTAAAGAAATATTTTTCTAATTCTAATTGTATTATATATTTATACTTTATTCTATATTATACTTTTTATGACTAAATGAGATATAGATACTGTATTTTAAATATATTTGATAATATACTTCATAGTATATTTTCACAATTAAGTATAAATATTTTGATTTAAAAATCTTAAGACAAAGGAAAGAAAAGAAGTACTAGATAACAATGAGAATTTGCAAATTCTTTTCTTTTCTTTTCTTTTCTTTTCTTTTCTTGTCACTGGGGATCAAATCTAGGGCCTTTCCACTATGTTATATCCCCAGCCCAATTTCAATTTTGAGAGTAATTCCTGAGTTGCCAAGGCTGGATTTATACTTGTGATTGTCCTGCTTCAGCCTCCGGGAGCACCGGGATTACAGTCTTGGGGTACTAGGTAGGCTGAGGATTTGCATTAATTGTAGATATTCATCCATTTGTCCAGAGCCACTGATGATTCCAGCTAGGTTGGGTTTCAGGGAAAATCCTGCAACATTCTCTAGCCTTGTTAGAGCCAGAGCTACCAGATGGGGCTCTGTGATGAGCTCCAGTGTGGTGGAAATGCTATGGAAAAGTGCAGGGCTTGATGGGTTTGGAACCCTATGCAGCAAGGTGCTGTCTAGGTAAGTCCAATTTCCATAGCTTCCTGTGTGAGACAGTCATATGCTCAGCTGGACTTAACACTGACATGGCTTTCTGAATTTTGTTAAGACCTTAGTCTGTTGAAAGCTAATTTTATGTAACTGGTGGGAGAGTCCAACTTTTCCCAAACTCTTTAATCCAATTCATTGAAAATCTAAAGACTAACAGGGTTACCTCTGCTCAAAGGGAGTATGAAAAATTGGTCCTAGGTAATGCAAGAAAGACAAAGCAGAAAAGCTGTACAGACTAGGAATGAAAAAACAAAACAAAACTTTTTTGTTTATAGATGACATAAATATGGATATGTCAGGTAAAAGGCCAAAAACCAAGACCAGACCAGGCCACAACAAACCTTTATTAGGGGAATAGATCTGCGGGGTTTTCTCCGAACAAAGGAGAGACAAAAGCAATATGGCCAGGAGCAATATGGCTCCAAAAGCAATATGGCTCCTATAAAAGGCAGCAAGTGCCTTTTATAGGAGTGGGGCTGGGGCTTGTAGGAGCTGAGGTGGGGTTGAGTGAGGTAGTGGCTAGGGACTAGAGAAGCCTGTGATGTCACTAGTTGCTAGGAGGAGAGCAAGTATTAAGGTTACTCTTTTGGTGGGAGTAGGGACATGTTGGAAAGAAGGTAGCTATTATATATAGCAGCCACCCTAAATTGGAGGGAAATCTATCAGGAGACAATAAAAAAAAATGGACAGAAATCTTCCTGGGATTTATAAGGAGTTGCAGCAGTGTCACAAGACACAGGGTTAACACAAAAATGCAAATAAGGTTCCTATGCACCATAAATGAACTAATATATAATTGGAAATTAAAAACATTAACCTGCAAACAAATTAAGTGCTTAGGTATGAATCTAACAAAATATGTTCAAGATTTTTATAAGGAAAATTATAAAACACTGATGAAAGAAATCAAAGAACTAAATAATTTGGAAATTCCATACTCATGCACAGGAAGACTCAATACTGTCCAGGCGCAAGTTCTTCCTGTGTTCCTTTACGCAATCCCAGAGACTTATTTTGTGTACATTGTGACTACTGATGAGCTGATTCTAATTGTATGTGGACAGGTGAAAGACCTAGAACAGCCAGCATAAAACTGAAGAATAGCAATGTTTGAGGACTGGCATTAGCTGACTTTAAGACTCACCATGATGTGATGGTGACCCAGGCAGCACAGTATAGACACTCAGAGGGGCAGAGCTAAGAGTTCAGAAGTCCCCATCAGTACAGTCAGCTGCTCTTTGACCAAGGTGAAAAGATAATAGAATGGAGCCCCATCTGGACTCCTCAGTGAATTGAAAGGGGGACTCTGTCAGTGATCATCAGATATCCTCTGTCTCGGAGTGTTCTGAAATGATGCCATCAGAGCCCTTTCTGAAGCCTCCCTTAACGGTTGAGCTACAGGTTTGGACTGTTTCTCTACTATAATAAGACAGACCTTTAGTCAAATGCACAAAACAAATCTTTGATAGAGTAAAAGCTACCTTAACCTTTTCTCCCTCTTAGACATAGTCTTCATCATTTATGTGTATAGGGGAAAAAATACCTTTGCTGATAGCCTGTGGACTTTGGAATGTTGACTGTGGACTTATAAAATGCTATATGATGATTTTTGGATGTTTAACCAGCTTGAGCTTTATTTGGACTTTTTCTTTCTGCTAGTGAGTTAAAAACTCCCCTTAAACTTTTCTCCAACTTGTTGGGAGTTCATTTCCAAATTCCTAGTAGTCAGACTGCTCCTCCTTCCAGAAAGTCAGATTAAGGCAACTCCAAACAACTGTTTTGTCTTACACTAGGGAAAATAACAATCAGTAACTTACATTTGTGTTTTTACATCCTAACTAGAATATGGGACTACTTTAGCCAGGATTTCTCTTCATTCATACGTGCATAGGAAATTGAGGAGTGCCTTTACTATGTAGATTGTGGCCACTAGGAGGACCTATGAGTTTCAAATACTTAGTGAATTTAAAATGGACCTTAAAGGAGTAGCTTTGTATTGCTGCTAATAAAAGTTGCCTAAATGACTGATAGACAACAGAAATGTCTCAGAGCTTTCTCTGCCCTATGGCCCAGGGCAGAATCTCTGACTTACCATCTTTGTAGATGATCTCTTTAGCAGGAAAAGTGCCCTAATTTGACTGTTGACCTATTTTCCTCTCTCTTTCAAGGAACTAAAAAGCAATGGTTTAAATCTCTTGGTTTGCTAGCAATACTTCTCTAAACATGATTGTTATGGCTGAAGTCAATAGTAACTTGCACTTTAAGAGTACTTACTAGAGTAAGGATATGAATTCCCTGAGGAAGATAAGATCACGTGCTGGTAAAGGGTAGATAGTCCACTCTGGTTTTATTATCTGGTTCTCTCTCCAGATGGTAGCTACCTACCCTGGAATGGTATGAACCTTGGGGGATGCCCTGGGGATGCCTTAGAGGGCACAGGAATCAAGCAGAGACTTATGGGACATCATATTTGTTTCTCTTGTTTCAGATTAGGAACTCCATATCTGAACCTCTTACTTCTTTGGAATATATTAAGAGCAATTCAGCATTTCTCTACACTGGAGTCAGTGTGTCTACCACCTAAAGCCAAGTAAACAGAAAAAAGTACTATGATGCTATCTCACAATTAGAATTATACTGTAAAAGAGAGGAAATGGTCAAAATACTCTTATGTTGAGTTTTCTTTAAATTAAGAAGTAATTCTTGCTTGTGTTCAAATGTAAATCTGGGCCATAAAAAAGGAGACACCTCACCCTTAAGACATTCAGTACCTCTAAACCTGAGGCTACTCCTTGCCCTAACTACCAGGTGCTGAGGGTGGAATACCTAGGCCAGCCATAATTAACTTCCCTGGGGCTATACCCATCCTTAGTTAAATTGTTCAGGTCCCTCAAAGGCAACATCCCTTGCAGGAAGTAAATGGCAAATATGGGACTACTGGT